TTGACTATACAAGAAAGTTTAAACACAAAGTAAATGTATTAAAATATTTATAGATTATTGTTTACAGGAATTTTGATTGGTTTAATCGTCAAACGTTTGTTGTTTTTTGACATATTTGCTTTCATTCTTTTGTCTCCGCGGCTTCACTTTGCAAAACCTGAAGGTTCGCTGAAATCTGTCTGAAAGACAGAAACAAGAAGACAATAAATACACAGATTTAACACTTAACAAGTATCTTTACTCAGCTGCAGTCATTATACAGATTATATGCATTACTTTTTTATTCACTAAGCAGAAAAGCAACTTTTCAAACTTTGTGACTAAATGTACCTGATACTGGCACGAATGAGGTGATCTAAAAATAAACTGGTGCTGATTTTTGAGTGTTTTGTGGAATTTGTTAGTAATTATTACAATAAATGTCACACACAGTATGTTTTAACATTTCCTGAGCTTCACAGTTGCTTTATTCTCTGATTTAATTAAAAAATACAAACATCTTTTACATAGATTTTCATTTTAGCAACAATTATTTGAGCTTTGAATGACCCATATTCTATAAAACATACCTGTGTCTCTTTAGTAATTTCTGTTTTCTGATTATAATTGTACTGATTCACATCAAAGCTGGGCACCTTCCAACTAAATGAACTCCTGCAGCTGTTACACGTTTTCATGCCAGTGATAATTACCTTCACAGTCTACTTACGATGGTTGATGTTCGGTGTGCCTTCCATCATTTCACACAACTCAAATTCCTTCAGTTTGATGCAAAGCTCGCAAATGTTGTCCGCCTCGGTCCACGGAGCCGACCCACGATCCTCTCCTGCCACGCTGAAGACGGCCAGAGGCCGGTACTCGGGCACCTTCAGGAGGTTTGATGCTCTGCAGGAGGCCGGAGTCGAGCAGCTTTGATTCACGGAGCTGGTCTTGGTACCAGATTCTCTCCTGGAGTAGGTCTGCCAAGGTTGTCTCTGTTCGGTGTCGACAACGGACCAGACTTTGTGGCGCTCTGATTTGTCGTAGATGGAGGGGAAGTAGCTGAAGGCAGCCATTTTCCTACAAGTGCATCCGTTTTGTTTGAATTCAAAATGGAGAGAGCTCGTGTTCTAGAAGCAGAAAAGCTCCACGTGTTGATAAATGAATGTCAATAATAATCCAAACGTCGGTTAATTTTTTCAATTAAAAACAACAAAGATGTTTATTCTGTTGAACCACTGAACTACGTTATTTACAGACTTTGTCAAACTTCAAATATAGAAATAAAGACGTTTGTGCTCACGTGTTGTCACTTTTGAAACTGAACAGACCAGTTGCTGTAGTTATGATGGAAAAATGGTTCTTATTCTCACTGTATCTTGTAACCATGGCGATGTAAACACGCCGCTAACAGTACCATGCTGCTAACTGGACCATGTTGCAAAGATAACCTGACTGTCATCAGAACCACTCTGCCGATAGGACCATGCTGCTGTAAATTTATTTCGTTTTCACTTTTGGCGCCTTGTATTTTTGTTGCATGCTTTGAATAAATCCCAGTTTATGTTAGTTGAGTTGATGTTAGTTGAGTTTATGTTAGTTGAGTTTATGTTAGTTGAGTTAGTGCTCGCATTAAGCATGTAAATTATAGCCGAACAGAACCTATGAGAATCATGCTGCTGTTGTTCGGTGTATTGTTTTGCACAATACTGGCATATATCTTAGATCTTTTAGCGTGCTGTTTTGCGTTTTTGGCGTATATCTTAGTTTATATCTTAGATCCTTATTTACTGTTTATTTTTACATTTTGTATTTTTGCTATTGTTTGATGCAACTGGGACATAATTTCGTTCCACCTCATGTACGACATGTGATGCGAACGACAGTAAAGATTCTCTGACTCTGATATTTGTTTGAAGCCTGTTTTCTTGCACTTTTCCTTCCACGTTGGACCGAAGCCGTGTGGTTTTGCACGATCTTGCTGAAAAAGGTGCAGTTTTCTCTGAGTAAGATGTGGTCGTGTTTATTTTAGCAGTGATGGTGCATTCAGGGGCACTTTGGTTGCAAACTTGGCAGAATGACAGCTTGTGATCGTTTCCATCCAGCATCCTTTCTTGTGCATCATCCACTTCTCTCTCCCTCTTGTGGCTTTCTCAATATTAAATTATCTCAGTTTCTGCACCCACTGGATCCTGCTGTGGGTCACAATGTTGTTGCCATTCAATCCTCAGGTCAACATGACAGAGGGGGTTTCACCAGGGATAGGTCAGGGAACATTAAATAAAAACTTAGAATATTAAAAGCAACAATAAAAGTAAAGTCGAGTAAACGCCCGAGTTCAGACTCTGAGCAGTAATTTTTTTGTTTAATGCACCAGAGAGTTTTAATTCAGCCTAATTTTCTGGCAGTATTACCAGAGGGTCCGAGGATTACAGCAAGTCAACCAGTCCTGGATTTCATTCTTTTCTGTTCGTTTAAACATCACATGTCGTCATTATTCATTTTAAACACGTGACACTAGTCTTGTGACCTGTGACCCTGCACTGTATGAATGGATGAATATACAAGATAGTGTGTTTTGTGATTCTGTTTCCTTGGTTCGGTCTTTTTGTTTTAGTTTCATGTCTTTGGTTATTGCTTCATCCCAGGCACCGTTGGGACATTTCTGCCCGTTTGTTTGGATTGTTAGCATAAAAAACTCTGAGTCACTGAACATATTTCATTAAGTCAATCAAAGACGACTGCACCAGCAACGTGGTCGTTGCAATCACAAACGTATAACTCAAGCAATAATACAGAATTGGAGCAGAAATTTGGCGTGGTAGTAGCTGAGTAACAACCCATACTTTAATTGCTAATTGATCATGCGAGACATCACAATACCACAACGTTTATGCCTAAATAGCGTTGGCGTCATCGTTTCTCAATATGGTGATCTCAGTCTAAAACTCTGGCTGTAAAGATGGTAAAGATCCTTTTTATCCGTTTGTTTCAGATTCTGGACAGCTTTTATCTCTTTACGTAATTTTAAAGACACGGTGCCCGAGGTCAGTCGTGCTTCTGTCAGCTCCTTGATCTTGCTCAGACAGTAATATTTCTCATTTGGATTTGGAGCATGATGTACAGAGTTGTAGCAACTTCAGGGGCGTTAAGTTGACGAGACACACGATGAAGATCGGGGAGAGAGTTGTGGAAGCAAGACTTAGATGAGAGGTGACTATTTTGTGAGCAGCAGTATGGTTTCATGCAGAGAAAGAGCATCACAGACGCCACCTTTGCTTTTAGGATGCTGATGGAGAAGTACAGAGAAGGTCAGAAAGAACTCCATTGTGTCGATTTAGACAAAGCGTATGACAGAGTGATGAGAGGAGGTGTGGTGTTGCATGAGGAAATCTGGAGTGGCAGAGAAGTATGTTAGACTGGAACAGGACATGAGGACAGTGTGCCAGATGGCTTCAAGGTGGAGGTGGGAGTGCATCAAGGATCCGCTCTGAGCCCCTTCTTGTTTGCTCTGGTGATGGACTGACTAACAGATGATGGAATCCCTGTGGACTATGATGTTTGCAGATGACATTGTGATCTGTGGCAAGAACAGGGAACAGAAGGAAGAGAACTTGGAGAGGTGGAGGTTTGCACTTGAAAGAAGAGGAATGAAAGTCAGTCGTAGTACGACAGAGTCCATGTGTGAATGAGATGGAGGAGGTGGAACAGTGAGGCCACAAGGAGCAGAGGTCACAAAGGTGCAGGACTTCAAGTACTTGGGGTCCACTGTCCAGGAAAATGGGGAGTGTGGTGAAGAAGAGAGTCCGGGCAGGATGAAGTGGATGGAGAAAAGTTTCAGAAGTGATTTGTGACAAAAGGGTGTCAGCAAAGGTCAAAGGAAAAGTTTACAAGACAGTGGTGAGACCAGCTACGTTGTATGGTCTGGAGACAGAGACATGGACAAAAAGACAGGAGACAGAACTGGAAGTGGCAGAAATGAAGATGTTGAGGTTCTCCTTAAGAGAGACAAGGATGGAGAAGATCAGGAATGAGATCATCAGAGGTACAGCACAGGTTGAACAACTGGGAGATGAAGTAAGGGAGACCAGACTGAGATGGTTTGGACATGTCCTGAGGAGGGACAGTGGTTTGGACATGTCCAGAGGAGGGACAGTGGTTTGGACATGTCCAGAGGAGGGACAGTGGGTACATTGGTAGAAGGATGTTAGAAATGCAGCTGCCAAGAAAAAGACAAAGAGGAGACACATGGATGCAGGTAGAGAGGACATGGAGGGAGAACAGAGATGGAGGAGGACGACTCGCCGTGGTGACCCCTGAAGAGGGAATAGCTGAAAGAAGAATGTTACACCACCAACCTTTATTGTAATTCTTTATTTGTTTTATGTTTAACATCAGGACTTCAGTTGAAAGAAGTTTCCTCTCTGCATTGCCCCTCCGGATGTTTAATAAAATACTTTGACTATTTTTCAAATCTAAAATTCTTCACTAAACTTGTTTGATATAGTTTAAACTGAAATTCAATCAGACAGTTTATTGAAACTAAATATTATATTAAACATCGATATTACATGAAGCGGGTGGATTTATCGTTGTTGTACAGAGCCCTGAGAGGACTTTTGAATAATAATAAATGTAAAAAAAAGACAATAAAATCACACTAAGCCTTCATTTATAAGATGCTTTCATTTAATCTTATTCTTGCTTGTAAAAAATCAATCAAGGTAAACTCTACCATTTTTTTAATATCGACAACTTTTCCGGGCTTTTGTTGCCCCCGTCTGTTTGAAAAATAATATGCAATCAACAAAACTACGAGTAAATTAGCTAACTTTTGAAAATTTGACTTGAAAAAATTATAATTTTCAGTCAGAAAACAGTTTTCCCGGCGCTCATTTGTGAGTTGCGTGAAAACCGTAAAGAAGTGCGCAAAGTGCGCAAAGTGAAAGCGTTTTATGCGTAATAAAGTCGGACAAATGATTTATTATGACCAGGACGCAGTCCCGCAAAGATGAAGTCTAATGAAGGAGGTGTCCGGAGGAGGAGGATTTGAGGGCTGTGAGGAGCCCCGCTCCCCCTCTCCTCCCTCTCCTCCCTCTCTGTTGGATCAGAGGAGGTCTCAGTCGGAGCTGGAGGAGAGGAGAGCTTCTCCGCAGCCGAACATCATGGATCTTTGGGCTCGGATTATCGCCTCGCTCGTCCTGTCCCTCCTGAGCCGGACAGCCGCAGACGGTGAGTCCTCTGGACGCTTTATTTTAATTTATTTATTACTTTTACTTTTGTCTTGCTGGAGACGAACCGAGTCCGAGCAGCTCAGAGCCGGAGTCCGGACCCTGCGGTTCAGTTCTGAGTAAAACGCTTGAATTTCCTGCGCTGCGCCTCGAAACTGGCACCGACTGCCCGGGGGGTGGATTTATTTTGTGCATCGGCTTCTGATTTCAGTTCATTCCGCCTAAAACAACTTTTTGTTCTCGTGCATGATGATTTTAATCCGTTTGAGCAGTTCGGGTCTGAATCTTTGAGCCTTGGTGGTTTCAGCTGCGCAAACTTGGACATTTAGAAGGTGTCCCAAAAAGTCCGGTGATGTGTTTGCGTTCTGGTTAATTTGATGCTCCTTGCAGCAGATGAGCATCCTGGGTGGAGGCGAGACAAGAGGAAGGTTTGAGCAGAGGGGTAGGTGTGAGACATGATGGTTGGAGCAGGTGGGTGAGACAGGATGGTTGGAGCAGAGGTGTGTGTGAGACAGGATGGTTGGAGCAGAGGT